TCTCGTGCAGCAGTCTGAGGGGGTGCGAGTTCAAGGGGTGACGACAGTACAATGCGACTCCTGCGGAAGAGCCAAGTCCAAGAGACAGATACGACGCCTACCACGAACAAACGACGAAGGCCCAGGAGAGCGACTTGCTATCGACTTCCATACATACGAAGTCCAGGCGATCACAAAAGAGAAGAGCCAAATGCTCATTACCGATCGTTTCTCAGGCCTCCAATGGGACCTATACTTTACCGACAACCGGACAGCCAAGTCCATTATCCGGCTGCTCACAACTTTCTTCTTATTTATGAAGAACCATTACAACATATCCGTTAAGACCATAGAGTCTGACAACGAGATCACAACTGTTAAGCCAGATGTCGAGCGATGGCTGGCAACACAGGGCATCAGAGTCGAGCCCTCAGCCCCAGACACACAGGCACAAAACGGTGGAGCCGAGCGCTCAGGGGGTGTAAACAAGGAGAAGGCACGCGCAATGCGACTTGACGCCAATCTCTCTTGGAACTGTGGCCAGAAATCACTCGAGCCGCAGTCTATCTCTACAACAGAACCCCAAACTACAACAATCACTGGAAGACACCATACGAAGTCTTCTTCACGACGAGTAGCTTTCAGCAACGGAATAGTCACATCTCTCCGAAAACCAAACCTCACTCACCTTAAGGCATATGGCTGCAAAGCTTTCGCCATGACAGACGACACCCACAGAGGGAAGTCGCGCCTACAACGCCTCGACCCAAAGGCATGGATCGGATACCTAGTCGGATACCGGTCATCAAACATCTACCGAATCTGGATACCGTCACTCGCCAAAGTGATGAGCACTAGAGACGTCGTCTTCGACGAACAGTCAATTTTCGATGGCAAAACCGAAGACCTAATGGACAACCTCATGCACAATACGCTAGAAGAAATCGCGACACACGTGAGGACCATTGAGCTGCCAACACCAGCGCAGCAACCAGAGACGGAGTCCTTCTATGAGGACAGTCCACCGGAGGAGTCACTCGCTCAGGACAGCGAGGGCGACCAGCCAGGATACTATCAAGGGAGAAAAATCCGGGACAGCTACCCGACACCTCCGGCGACACCGCCACCCGCAGCGTTGCTCGCGCGGCTAATGGCAGGAGCATCGCTAGATGAGAAGGATCGACAAGGAACCCCTAAGACTGCCCCATGGGCAGCAGCGTTCATGGCGGGTACCCAGGCCGGAAAGGTTGGAGAATACAGAGGAGTAGCTATGGACAAGGCTGCGATTGTGAGAATGCTCGCCAAAGGCTTGAAGCCCCATCGCAGCCAGCTACCACCTCTGCCAACATGCCGAACTAAGCTTGAGGACCACCCAATGGGAGAACTATTCAAAGAAGCAGAACGGTCCCATCTAGCAAGCCACTATCAAATGAACTCATGGACAGAGTTCCCCATAAAGAAAATCAAGCAAACAGGACAACAAATCCTGGGCTGCATGTGGGTATACACCTACAAACTTGACAAGCATCACCGACTACTCAAGTGCAAGGCACGACTAGTCGTCCGCGGTGATCAGCAGCGAAACATCACATCGCAAGACACCTACGCGGCAACACTCGCAAGCCGGTCGTTCCGAATGCTAACCGCAATTGCGGCAAAGTACGACCTAGAGCTCAAACAGTACGACGTGGCAAACGCCTTCGTGCATGCGACAATAGACCGAGAAGTATTCATGAGAATGCCACGCGGCCATCAGAAGCCAGGCACTATACTTAAGCTCAACAAGGCATTGTATGGACTGCGCATATCCCCGCTCCTCTGGCAGAAAGAGTTCACAGGCACTCTCAAAGAACTCGGGTTCCAGGAAGTACCGCACGAACCCTGCTGTCTCATCAAAGACGGCATCATTATCTTCTTCTACGTGGACGACATCATACTCGCATACCACAAAGACATGGAGCAATCCGCCCAGCAGGCAATTGCCCGCCTCCAGGACAGATACCTCTTTACTGGGGGAAACGACTTACAATGGTTCCTCGGCGTCGAGATTATCCGAGACCGAAAGGCGCGGACGATCCAGCTATCGCAGGCGGCCTACGCAGACAAGATCAGCAGACTGGCCGACCGTACCGACATTAGACACGACACGCCGATGGCGACTGCCGAACTACTACCAAGAGACGGCCTCGCCTCCCCATCAGAGATCAACAAATACCAGCGCAAGATAGGCTCGCTCCTCTTCGCAGCCGTGACCACTAGACCAGACATCGCCTTTGCGACGTCGCGGCTCGCCCGCTTTCTCTCCAACCCAGGACCGGAGCACCATGACGCTGCCGACCGAGTCCTCCAATATCTACTAGCGACAAAGCACCTCGCGCTACAACTCGGAGGAGGCGCTGGACTACAGATAGCCAGCGATGCTTCCTTTGCCGACAATACCCTAGACAGGAAGAGCTCACAGGGCTACGCGATCAAGCTCTTCAATGGACTCATCGCATGGAAAGCTAACAAACAAGACACTGTCACAACATCAACGACAGAAGCCGAGCTCCTCGCTCTATCTCAAGTAGCCAAGGAAGCTCTATTCCTGTCCCGTCTCCTCAAGGAGCTGAATATCCAGCTTGACACCCCTAGTATCACTATTCAATGCGACAACAAACAGACTATTCGCCTAGTCACCGAGGAGGTCTCAAAGCTTCAAACCAAACTCAGACATGTCGACATACACAATCACTGGATCAGACAGGAGGTGTCGACAGGCCGGATCTCCGTAGAGTACATACCTACCGCGGATATGATCGCCGACGGTCTCACCAAATCATTGCCACCAAACAAATGGCCAGAATTCCTAGAACAACTAGGACTAGTCCCCGCTAAGGAAATCCTGGCGAGAAACTCGGCACCGCTCGAAGAAATTCAAGAGAAACTTGAAAATCTCGTGGTAAGCCTTGAGTAGGACTAAGTGCCCAGCTTGCAAGCGTGAAGAGCGTCCAAGCTGAAGGGGTGTGTCAGATAATAGCACTGTTGAAGATGAGAGCGTACAGACGCTGGGTTAGACTAGCGCGACCCGGCATCTGAGAGAGCCAATCGGATCACAGGAAGGCTTGGCACCCCCCAGGTGTGCCCACAACCGTAGACAGAACCAAAAACACAATCAATAATCAATATCATCACGATCATTACCCATTTCATCAGTATTCCAGATAAGAGTGAATATCTGACAGCTACAAACCACAAACACCACAGCATCTACTTCTAGATTGCAAACAGTACAAAACACATCGAAATACACTCAAAGAAGCAATACCACACAGACCCATCACCCTCCCACTTCTCCTCCAAACAAAGACAGGCATCAAAGCTACTCTAGCCTTTATTGCAAGTACTGGGATTGGCACGAGAAAATGGCACCTTGGGCAAACCACCGAACAGACAGACACTGTATAAAACTACAAAACAATATTTCCTTATCCCAAAAGAGCCCGCTGCTACATCTCTTTCTATTCACCACACTGCTCTTTAGCACCCGCGCCAATGGAAGACTAGCTCTGAAATTGGAGTACGCAAAACACCACCCAAATTGTACAAGACCCATAGAAACTCCACAACGACCATCATACATAGAACGGCTTAGCCAAAGTCCTACATAGTCACCGACTGATACAGGACTCTAATGGAAATATAATAATAATAATAATAATAATAATAGTCGAAACCATCAGAAGAAAAACATTCCAGCTACTCTAAGCCTCCGCAGCCAGCTGGTTGTAAAGCTAGAGCCAGTAGAACGAGATTCTTCAGACGCGTTCAATCTTCCAAAACAAAAACGCACAGACCAGTCCTTATCGATAAGATAACCAAAAACACCAACAATTGACTCTTTCGCTGTTTTCTAGTCTCCCAAATCTATTCCTATCCTAGAGATCTACTCGATAGATCAGTAAGATAGAGAAAAGAGAGTATTATTATTATTATTATTATTATTATATTTCCATTAGAGTCCTGTATCAGTCGGTGACTATGTAGGACTTTGGCTAAGCCGTTCTATGTATGTTGTTCAATATGGAGTTTCTATAGGTCTTGTACAATTTGGAGGATAGTTGCGTAGTCCAATTTCCGAGCTAGTCTTCCATTGGCGCGGGTGCTAAAGAGCAGTGTGGTGAACAGAAAGAGATGTAACAGCGAGCTCTTTGCGAAAAGAAATATTGTTTGTAGTTTTATACAGTGTCTGTCTGTTGTTTTGTGTAGGCGTCTGTATATAGGGATCTACAAGAGAGATAATAGATCTATACATCTAGTGCCTGGTCGGTGTTTTGCTCGTGCGTGTGCTGGTGACAGCAGGTGCTGGAGCGGTTCGGTATATGGGGTCGGTATATCGAGTTGGTTTAGGGCGTTCGGGTATAGGTAGCATCTAGATATATAGGCCTATTACTTTGCAGCAATAGAGCTATATACCTAAGGAAGAGCCGTTGCTCTGTCGGTTTCGTAGAGGGTGCCTTCGATCGAACATCTAAAATCAGTTGGCGCACGGACCACTTGCAGAGATTTCTCTCAACTAAGGCCAGGTCACAACTCTGTCAAAGTTGCAGCGGCCAGCGCGCCCGCCACAACGCCTGCACTCAGAAACAGGCGTTGGAAACTGATTCTAGGAAGGCATTTCAATAGATTTGAGATGAAAAAAGGGTAATCCAGGACCTTTTTGTCATCTCGAAAAGTTGGTGTTCGATGAGTACAGGAGAGTAATTAGAGTAACTAAGCTTACTGTCGGATCGTGAGTATCGGTAGAGACGTCGGCTGCTTGACACTTCGGCCCGACTTCGGCCCACCTTGCGCAGAGCTTAGGTATACCTTCGTAGCAGCTATGTTCGTAGACAAGAAGAACAACCACCGAACAGAATGCATTCCTAGTTATCGTTATTTCCCTTTCCGCACTTAGTGCAAAGCCAACCAACACTTACTTATTTTCCCTTATATATTGGGCGAATAATAGAGAACTATTGAAAAGCTGGCACTATTAGTAGTGTCAGATTGAGGCGAGGTTTTGCTCCATGATCGAGCCGATGGTGGTTGGGGAAGGACATGAGACCCCCAAACCAGGGCTAGCGCCGGGACTTAGCACTGCCAAGCCCGAGGCGAGGCCACCTCCCACAGACAGAGCCGTAGACAGACACAGAGAATACACACTTGATCCCATCCATAAAAATTTGACAATTAAGAGTCTCACTGCCTGTACCGAGTACAGAAGAGTCAATCAAAGTTACTTTATACTACAAATACCGTCAATACGACGATCCCCACGCTACAACACGTAAGCGCCGAACCGAAGAGTCATCAAAACTCATCGACAAGATGTCTGTACTATCAAACAGAGATCCAACAGTGATCCTAACGGATTATACCAATTGGGCTAAATGGTACCAACAACTACAAGCGGAATGCGCCGCATACCAAGTGTGGGAAAAGGTAGATCCAAAGCAACGTGGGATCCCTCTAATAGAACCACAACCACCACTAGCTCCACTTATCGGAAGCTATCAGCCATCAACTGCAGCGACGAATCTGCACGTTACCCAATATCGCCAAGCGATCGGCGACGATAGCGCCGAAGCGCCAGCCTACGTACCGGTACGACCCTCGGACCTCGCGACGAACGCGAAGACGTCCTATAAAGAAGATATCGATTATTACCGAATACAACTAGAAGAGTTTAAAATACTTAACCAGAGATATCAACAAGAGCGGACCGGACTTGGAAAGCTCACCGAGCACATAAGGAAGACTGTGTCACAACACCTCTTCTACAACTGCTGCAAGGCAGGTCTTTCCCATCGGCAGTGGATTGAAAACTTAGCCGCAAATGTTGGGATTGACACGAAGGAGGAACTCAAACGTGCGAGAGAACGTTACCTCGCGGCCCAAAAACCGATGAGGTTGTTAGCACAGTGGGAGACCTGGCTAACTGAGATGGACCATGCAATCACGGAAGGCAAGGCCCTTGGCATACCTGAATGCCAAGACGAAGAGTTTATCAAGGAGGATTTCGTCAAAGCAGTTCTCAAACCATCACCAGAATGGACTACCGCGTTCATGGCCGGTGGAAATAAAGACCCACGTGTCACTGTACGGATGATGATTAAACAGTTCCGAGAGTACGCCTCACTGTTGCATCCGATCAAACACAAGGTCCCGAAGGCCGCCTTTGTAGCAAGTGGACCTCAACTGAACGGCGAAGACGCAGATGACGCCGCCGAGAAGGCCCCAGGAAAGCGAGGTCGCGGCAAAAGCCGAAAGACTCCCGGACCGGGCAAGGATAGGAAACAATGCAAGGTATGCGACCAACAGCACGAACTAAAGGATTGTTGGTACGCGTTTCCGCACAACGCCCCTGTTTGGTGGAAGCCACGTGAAACACTGAAGACGATGGTGTTGGATCGGAGGAGAGATGAGAGAGAAGGTTGTTCTATTGAGAGAGTTGCAGAGAGCGACTATATACATGAAGTAGAGTATCTGGAGCATTCCAGATCAGCAGTGTGTTACGTAGCTGTGACGATAGTAGAACATTCTAGTTGACACACCCCCTGAGGGCTGACACACCCCCTGAGGTTTCCATATTAGATGGATACCTCAAAAACAAATTGAAAGAGATGCAGACTAAACTATGGATGAGGCACAGGACATGGCACGTCCTTGACGATGAGATGACGGATGTCCTTCATGCCCAGCTGTCTGACAAAGTTCTCGTGTTTCTGACGAGGAAGTAGCTTAGTGAAGCCGTCAGCAGGCATCTCAGCAGTAGGCTTCCACTCAACAGTGATCCTTTCAGCTTCCACCTCTTGGCGGAGCCACATTTGATGAATGTCGACGTGACGAAGCTTGGTTTGAATTCGATCAGAATCGCCTTGTACGAGGCGTACAGTCTGAGCGTTGTCACACCAGAGAGCCTTCTTGGTGTGAAGCGTGAAGCCAATGTTGCGGCAGAAGCGATCCCAGTATTGCGATTCAACGCCAGCAGCAGAGAGAGCGTAGAGCTCTGCTTCAGTAGTAGAGCGGGTTACTGATCGAAGTACGGTAGCCTTCCAGTCAACAGGCATGCCGTACAGCATAAAAACGTATCCAGCAGATGATCGACGAGTCTCTACATCGTCTCCGAATGAGGCATCAGCAGCACCGAAGAACGTAGGCAGTGTTGAGTTGATCTTTGTTGCAAACGTCTGGGTAGGCTCACCCCCTCGAGCACTGATGGCCAGATACCTAGTACCGTACAGGTATTGCCACACGTGCTTGATCTCCGAGAGGTGAACTGGTCCTGGATTGATCAGGAACCGTGAAAGGATTGAGTGAGCGTGAGCGACGTCAGGACGCGTCATGATCTCAATGTACGCTAGGTTGCCAACAAGGCGTTGATAGGTTTTCGTAAGCAAAGGATCAGACACTCCATCGTAGGGTAATAGCCTCGACGTAGAGGAGAGAGGCGTGGAAGGGTATCTTCCATCAGAGCGGATAAGGTCAAACTCAGTGCAGACCTTGTTGATGAACGCATCCTGGACTAGGTAGAGCTGGCGGCTAGCAAGAACTCGCTCAACTCGAATACCGAGGAACCATTTAACGTTGCCCATTTGGCGCAGGCTATATAGCTTAATAAGCTGTCGTTCGAGCTTCTCGAAATCTTCTTGGTAGTCGGGGTGATAGAGGATGATGATATCGTCCACGTAGAAGAACAGGATTATCCGATCGTTCATCCAAAGGCATGGGAACCCTTGAACAGGGTGTAGCCCAAGCTTTCGCAGTGAAGCTTGGAGGTGTATAGCCCACAAGCGTGGAGCTTCCTTCAGGCCATACAGGGCGCGCAGAAGTCGAAGAATCTGGCCGTATCTATCCTGGAATCCATCCGGAGTTCGTACATGTAGAGGACGATTAAGTGTAGCGTTAAGGAACGCGTTTGGCACATCGTATTGCATTGCGTTAAGGTTGAAAGCACATGCAAGAGCCATAAGAGCTCGGAAGAGGCGAGCAGCAAGAGTAGCTGCGTACGTATCGCCGTACTGATCCTGCAGATCTCCTCGGACGACAATTCGAGCCTTGTATTTGAGAAGATATCCATCTTCATCAAATTTGTAGGTGAATACCCACATCAAGGGTACAGCATCTGTTGTGTCTGCTGTGATGTCTGGTTTGGCAAAGGTGCCTTTCTTCCAGCAGCTGTTGAATTCTGCGTAAGCAGCAGCTTCAAATTGCTTTCCATGAGCGTGACGTTTCAGTTCTTTCCAGTGACGTGGTGGAGGCGGAAGATCATCGCGATGAATGCGAGTAGGATCAGATCGCGTTGGTTGTGATGCAGCTGAGATAGCATCATTTGCTTGCGCAATCGTAGCAGAAAAAGCAAAGTACTTAGAAAGGTCAGGGGCTGCCTCGATGTAGTGCGCTTGGCGACGTCGTCTGCCAGTGATGATGTTGTCCTGTGAGAGATTCGGGTCTCGTCGTTGCGGAGCATTGTTCTGATGTCGATCTGGTATGTAGATCTCAGCGTCGTCGTCGTAGTTGTTCCACCCCCCAGGTGTCCTGTGTGGAGATGAGTCCATCAAAGCAGAGGACTCCTGCAGTAGTTGTTGTTCAACTGGATCAGGAGAAGGACTTCGATCTTGTCCTTCGAAAGCGGGTGTAGGAGATGGAGAGAGGAGTTGGCGAACAGGCTTCTGATACACTGCAATAGTGTCACTATCATACTCCTTTTCAGATACATGATCTAGTGGTAGGACAGGCGTAGTGATTGCTTCCTGTCGTTGTCGTACAGGCTGCGCCACGACAATGGTATCTCCATCGTATTCCTCCTCAGGAATGTGGACCGTCTCGATAATGCGAGGCTCCACGGGTGTTGTTGATGGCTTCTCCTTGTAAAGCTCATCAATGAAGCGTACATCTCGTACACGGATAACTCGATTCGTGGTAGGTATCCAGACTCGATAGATGTTCGAAGCGTCGTATCCAATAAGGAATCCTTCAAAGGTGCGCTTCTCCAGTTTATCCCCTCTTAGGAGATGCTTGTCAAGTATGAATCCACGGCTTCCAATGATATGGAGTCGTGATAGATCTGGTCGAATGCCAGTGACCATCTCTTGTGGCGTACGCCATTCAAGAGCCTTTGTCGGAGTGACGTTGAGGAGTCTTACCGCAGTACAGACTAGCTCATTAGCTAGTGCCTTAGGTAGACCAGCATGGATACGGATGACTCTGGCGACTGTAACAATCACGGCTCCAGCTCTCTCCGCACCCCCCAGCTGTGCTGGAGTATCAGGTGATCTCATTTCTACCTTAATACCTGCTGATGATAGCTCTTCTTGAGCAGAGGAACCGAGGTGTGCCTCAGCTCTGCCATACCCAACGTCTCCATCCATGAAGACTATAGCTACCTGGTAGCCGTATACTCTTTCAATCTTGTTGATGAGTCGAATAATAGCAGGAACAACAGTAGCTTTGTGTCGACTCCTGAGAGTACAGATCTCATGAAATTTCGTGTACTCACACACTGCATGCAATGCCCATACGTCACCGTTGTAACATACTGCGCCATGTTCCTGAAGTTGGATAATGTCGATTGAAATGCGATAGAAAGGTCGACAGGCTTTATCAGCGCGAGGACGGCGACTGATGTCTTCCTTCATCTTGCCTTGAATACACGATACACAATCGTCTGTCCATGGATCTCCTTTTCCGTTTGTGCCTATCTTGAGGCCAGTAGTTGCATCTTGAAGGTGTTCAAGTGCCTGATAGCTTGGGTGTCCGAGCAGTTGATGCGCTCGCATCGCAGTGACAGTTTGAGGAGCCTTCTCCTGGCTCGATCTTGCAGCCATGCTGAGAAGCTCATGGCGAGGAGGGCGATCAGCCTCCTTCGCATCGAGCAGCCAGTGGCCATGACTGTATTCAAGGTTGGCTACAACATTGGAGATCCTCTCTTTGTAGAGGATGTTGCGCCCTGAATCGAAGTGGATGCCTGAGCGTCGGCAGCGTCCAAGGGCGAAGAGGTTCGTGAGAAAACCTGGTACGTACGCGACATGCGTCAGGAGTATATCCTTCTTCTGATTGCCTCGATTAACATTGATGATCACCTCCCCCCAGGCAGCAACCTGATAGCTAGTTGCGCCTGCGAAGATAACGTCGGTTGATTTGGCATTTGACGTCGTACGCCAGTTGAAATAGGTCGAGTTGCAGATATGGACGTTGGAACCAGGATCAACGATCCATCTGTCGAGCAGAGTATCACCTTTTGGTGTTGTAATCTGAGCCAAGTGAAACGCATTGTTTGCGTAATAGTCTCCGTTCGAGTCATTGTCGTCGATTCGATCAGCGTAAGGTCGTCGGCCTCTGGATGCTGAAGTGGGTCTATCGGTCTTATTCTCGGTCTTATTCTCGGTCTTCTTCTCAGATCGATCGGAGTTTTGTGCTGTATCGAACGTCCATCGGACGTTGTTATCCTTGTAGAGCTTCTTGATCTTCTTCAAGAGCTCGCGATCCTTAAAAGCAGTACGAACTGTGCTGAGTCTTGTTCGATTTGGTCTAAAACCTTCTGGACGGCCTTCTGCCGTTTCGTTTAGAGTGTAGCACTCTAAGATATTGTGATAGAGGCCACAGACGCATTGCGGACGGTTGTTTGGCCTTGTGTCGGTGATAGCTAGAGTAGCCTGGGTGGCCTGGGTGCTGTCCTTGGCTGCAAAGCTGCCAAGAGTCTTCGTGTGGGTACGCTTCGTCGCGATCCATCGTCGGTATCGGTTAATCAAAGCTTCAAGTGTTGGAGGGTCCTTTTTGTCCTCCTCACAGCCAATCATTAGAGTGAAATGCTGGTTAGACCAGTCAGCATCTCCTTGGGCTTCAACAGCCTGTATGAAGGCCCACTGTGGACGTGTCCCTTTCATCTCAGCCATATCTTCTGATTGGCAGAGAGACGCAATTCGAGAATATTCGTTTAGCCACGTATCAACGTTCTGGTTCCTCCGCTTCTGCTGAATAGCAGCATATTGCGAAGAAAGCTCTAGAATTTGCTGTTGATTAGTGATCCGAAAGTGATCCTGAAGTGTTCTAAGACGTAATCGTACGTCCAGATCTAGGTTGGTAATAAGATGCAGCTTTGATCGAGCTACCGTCCGTGTGATTTCAAGGTTAACCTCTCCTATAGCCTTGAGGGTAGCCTTCTGAGCATTCGTCTTGATCTCCCACCTCCTCCACGCACTGTCTGAAGCAGTGTCTGATGGCTCGTCATCGACAGTTGGAGGTAGCTTGTTTGTGGAAGGATCGCAGTATTCCCACACACCTTTGACGGTGGCGAACTCCTTCTTCAAGGAGTACCAGAGCTTCCAATCGCTCTGGTTCTCGAGGATAACTGATGCGCGACTGACAACTTGATCGTCCCGAGCGCTCGAGGATGCCATGATGGCCAAAAGAGCTACCTTGCTAAGCGGCAGAGAAGCTTCGAGAAGTGATCTCAAAGGACGTGAGAATAGATCTCAAAAAGAGAGCGTGAGACACCTTGTTTCAACGCTACAACAAGACACAAGAACAGCGTATACAACAGCGTGAACTGTGTGAATGGAGTGAACAATCTCGTTTGAATATCGCAGCTTATTGCGGGGATACCGGGCTCATAACTGTTGGATCGGAGGAGAGATGAGAGAGAAGGTTGTTCTATTGAGAGAGTTGCAGAGAGCGACTATATACATGAAGTAGAGTATCTGGAGCATTCCAGATCAGCAGTGTGTTACGTAGCTGTGACGATAGTAGAACATTCTAGTTGACACACCCCCTGAGGGCTGACAGATAGTATAGGGGTGGGTGATGACGTGGGGATAGGAGATGGAGTAAGAGACGTTAAATCTAGTCTTATAATATTCGATGGGGACGGTGAGGTTGGTGTTGAAGGCTCCATAACAATAGTATATAAGTAGGTTGTTAAGGACTTGATTGTTCTATGTAAGTAGAAGACTTACCTTGATCTTAATGACTCATATTGTGCTAAATTTTCTGGCTAGATTAGTCTAAGATCTAGTCACGTGGACCTATTTATAGCCGGACCGGTCCGATCATCTAGACCGGTCCGACCACGGTCTCAAAAAATCGCCAGACCAGACCAAGTCTTGGCGGTCTAGACCAGACCAAGACCAAGTCAGACCAGACCATTCCGATCACTGGCCAAGCCCAATTGCAAAAGACAAGGAGATCAAGCAGAACGCAAAAGAAAACACGCAAAAAGACAGGAAGATCATTCCTTTCGCAGAATAACAATAACGCCTACCTGCTCATGCTGAGAAGCCTGACCGATCACGTTGCCGGGCAAGACCGCCTCGTCAACCCTCCTCTTGAACGTGGACGCATGTTCCTGCAACACTTCCACGATAACACAATCCCGCTGAGCTACAGACGTTGATGACCAGTTGAAGACCATGCGCGGAATCCAAATAGCGCTCGTGCGACCTCTGCATGCCCAGCCAGACTGGTTCTGCGGCAGCAGCTGATAGATGATCTGCATGTGGGACATACCCACTAACGTCGATGCAGGGAGAGAGGGATCAAGGACAGGGAGGCCAAAGCAGTCACCTTTGCCCAAATGATGAGCCCTGTCAACCACAAAGCCAGCTGCATTGGCTGCCTCAGAAGCTTGCTGAGCGGCTATCGACCAAAACCTAGTGGGGGACAGTTGCATAGCGAAGAAGACTTCGTTGAGCGGCCGATCAATGCCTCGAGGAACAGGCACGGTTGGCCCGTCCATGTAGCGCATAACGAGCAACGAGCCTGGTGCTTCTGTATAGAGCAAAGTCCCGAATTGCACAGGGACGGCGGACTCAGCGGGCGAAGGCGCGAAGTTGGCGAAGCGGGCGGACATGGACACAATGAGGCAGCAGCAGGGTCTGTTTCCATGACATATCTATGATGCAGCTGATGTAAGAGATGCTGGTTAACGTGACAAAGCAGCACCAGGCCACCGCCACGTGGTACACGTGATCCGCTTCTGTGGGGAAATGGTGTGCAGGAAGAATTGAAGGATTAAACTGAGGTTATGTAGTTGAGTAACAGCAAACAGCGCTAGCCGTAGATAGACATCGCCCCACTATTAAAAGTGGGTTGTTTGCTCCTCAAGTAAACAAAAACCCCACACTGTAGCAAACAGAGGCCCCAAACCATGACAGCTTCTCCTCATAACCGCCACACTATTTGTGAGGAACACTTGACCGCTCGACTAACACAGCACCCGAGACTACCACCTTCAAGATGGGTGCCAAAATGACCAAAGAAGACGGGCTAAGTACTGCATCAATCCAGAGGATGTACGCAGCTCGAGCTATCGCGGCAAAGAGGGCATACGAGCACAAATTCAGAATGCCAAGTCTAAAGAGCGACCACCCTGCACCCCCCCACACAGATGATAAGGACCCAAAGGATAAAGAAGACTCCACTGTCGAAGCAGACGAGAAGGCAACAAGCGATAGCTCTTCCACGTCCCCCAACGCCCCGCCAGAGACCGAACGCCCCACAAGACCCAACACTTCTCTGGCAAGCAGAACCGTTGCAGAGGCCATCCGAAACACCGCAGGTACCCCCATCACTATGAAAGTCGCTCTCGCAAGCTACCACCTCGCAAACGCCATCCGTGCCTTCGGTCGAAAAGCCAGTTGCGCATTCGACAGAGCCATCGAAGCTCTGCGCCAGATCGACATCATCGACGTCGCAAAGGCAGCCACCAAATGGATGAAAGAGCATCCTTGGGAGACGGCCGCGATTCTCGTTCCGCTCATCCTCCTCGCCTGCACTCCGGCATTCCTGAGCATCGCTGGTTTCACGGCTGGCGGTATTGCTGCTGGTATGTAGATATAATCAAAAGATAAGGGCTTTAAGTGCTAATGAGTGAGCAGGAAGCATTGCAGCAGGCGTCCATGCAGGCATCGGAAGTGTTGCAGCCGGTTCGACATTCGCAATCCTCACGAGCGCTGCGATGGGCGGGTATGGTGTGCCGATCGTATTTGGTGGCGTCTGGGCTATAAGCACTGCGGTCATGGGCGGAATCGCGGCTTGGAAGAGATGGCGAGGTGGAGGTAGCGGTGGCGGTAGCGGTGGCAGACTTCTCATCGGGGGACACAACGGCGATGGCGGAGATGGTGGTGGCAGCGATTCTGACGATGACTCGATCCCAGTCAAGAACGGCAACCCGAGTGGAGGTGGTGGTGACTGCGGCGAGACTGCTGCTGTTTACAAGCATGCAGCAGTCAAGAAGGAACTGATCAAACAGGACTGAGGAGGGTTCCATGAGACCAGTATGTAAACGACTTGGGCTACGGAAGAAAAATGTGAGCAAAGCTCGTAAGCGGAACACCCCAACTCGTCACCTCCTCTATGTAGAGAATATGTATCTCTGCAAGCCCTACGAGCGTACATAACTGTAGAGCTTTCTCACTTCCACGGCGGTTCCCCTAAAATGAAACCTTCCTCTATTGTGATATTCAGTCGGATTGCTCCTTCGCTTAGGAGCAGGAACACCGAGACATGATTATCGCTCATCCCATTCAGCTGCCGGCCTAGAGTGTGAATTACCACACGAAGTGTGCGAAACGTGGAGCGAGAATCTCGGAAGTGCGCAATGTATTAAAGTAAATGCAGTGAATTAAAGTGTAACCGCGCGAGGTAGTAATTAGGGTCTAAAGTGTATATTGTATGTTTTTCTCTCTGGCTGTGTTCTGTGTGCTGTCGTGCTCGCCTCTTATATAGTCGCAGGCAGGGACTGTATTCATGACGTATCTAAGGTAAGAGATACTGGTTATCCTAGACTAAGCAGTACCAGATCAACGCCAGATGGCACACGTGGTCCGCTTCTCCTCATAACCGCCACATGATGTGTTTGTCGCCATTTGGAGTAACGGTGTGTTTAATGCCGTAGGGAGGCACCATAATGCGATGGGGGGGGGGGGGGGGGGGGGGGGGGGGAAAAAAAAAAAAAAAAAAATTTTTAA